GGTCCTATTTTACAGCAAAACTAAGTAATTTGATGCATGCATGTAGATCAGAAATTACTTTTCCAGACTTGAGGTTAATACTGGATGATAATGCAGTCTATGGTATCTTGTGACTGAAAAGTTGTTTATTTTTAAATATTGGAGTGGTGCTCCATATTGTGGTAGTTTTGTATAAGCAAAACTCTTATTTTTGTAAAAAGCTACAGACATTTATTATTTTCTTTGTTTCTAAAAACAGATAAGGTATATATTTCTTTTACCAAAGGGAGTGAGGCTACTAATTTGAACCAGTTTCTTCTGGACTTGTATTCTGAAATATCTCTTGAAAATAATTTGGAGAAAAAGCTATAATGCCAGAAGATACAGTCATCAACTCCAGTTTAGAAAGTAACAGTTCAAAACAATTTAGAGATACAGCAAACACTGAGCCTTTGTAGCATGTTGGAGCCATGTATGTGATCTTTGGTCGTGAGGCTGCACCACACCAAATATGAGATGCCACTCACCTTTTTCCCTGAGGCTCTTGATACCAACTGTACCTGTCCCTTTTGCACTAGATACTGTGGATGATGCTGTTGGTAGCGAATCGCTTCAGTCTTTGTTCTCAGAATGGGACAATCCAGTATTTGCCCGTTATCCAGAGGTGGGTCTGCAGCAGTTTTTCTTTGCTTGTTATTTTAAAATTAGAATTTTATTTCATTTCATTTTTTAAAAATTTATCTTTATTGTTAAAAGTATTACAGATGTTCAACCTCTCCCCCCCATTGAACCCCTTAGAATTTTATTTAAGTTGCGTATGGGCATGACTGACTATACTAATTTGAAATTATTAATGGGAAGTGGGTATGTTTCCAAGTAATTTATTTGGAAATTAATGTAAAAAGGAGGAATCAGAATTCATAGCATTTGGGGAACTCGGCTTTAAGTTTGGATTAAACATATGTAATCAGTGTGGGAATAGTGCAAGTGTTTACCACTCTTAAAAACCCTGACTTGAAGCTATGGTGGAGTATTTAGGATGGTAATAATTTATTTATCATTAAATAAAGTAGTGACTCTCTTACTGGAAGAACAGTTCATCGTGTATGTTCTCTTTTCAGTGGGTTATCACAGAATGTACTTGTGTGTTATAATGAGGGTGTAGAATACATGAGCACTTAATTATCGATTCTTCAGCGAAGATGTCATTAAGTACTTGATTATGGAGCCTAGGCAAATTGTTATTCTGAAATGTTGGTGTTTGTCAGTAATTTTGGTCATAGAGCCTTTTGAATTCCTATAAATTCTCTGAATTCAACCCACCTCTAGTAGACTCGATGAAAAATGAATGTTTTTAAGGCACTTTGAGATTTTTGGTCAAACAGTTCTACAGACATGACAAAATTTAAATTTAAATGATATTGTGCTGTGTCTTTCTAGGTTGCTGTTGATGTAAGCAGTGGTCAGGCTGAAAGCCTAGCAGTTAAAATTCACAACATCTTGTTTCCTTACCGTTTTACCAAGGACATGATTCATTCCATGCAGGTAAAAGGTTGACTTTGAAATCTCATCATTTGTATATAAGCCCCAAGTTAGACTAACTCTTGTGAAATTGGATATATTTAATGATGTAGACCACCCGCGTCAAAGCACATGTGTTTTTTAAATCTTACTGGAACTTTATCATGAGAAGAAAAAGAAAAGGACTAAAATTAATTACAAAGAAAAAGATGTCCTTAGTAGTGTGAGCAAGTTTGGAGGGATGAATGATGAATTCAGGTTCACAGTTTCAGGTTTATATAGACTTTATATTTTGATAATAATTTATAAAGCAACTAAGCACTGCAGAGACAGTATCCTTAAATGTGCCACAATGTTCCTTTTTAAACAACCCTCAGTAGTGTGAGGCTACACATGACATGGTAGTTGAGGAGTTCCATTATCAAGAGGGGCCTCTTGTCTCATCTGCTAGATTGCCCTCCCTCTACACCACTCTCTATCTCTTTGTTTTCAGGAAACAAATTAGGAGGTGGAAAAATCCAGGTAAACTCCTAACCTGTCATGTTTGACCTGGTATCAGAGCAAACACTTGATCCAGAAATAGGCCCTGGGGAGGGGTATAGATTAGGCATTGTCAGTACCTGGACAGAAAGGACCACCAAGGCCTAAAGCCACAGGTGGCTTTTTCACTTGCTGCTCTAATGACCTAGCTCTTCCAAAATGCCTTTCCTTGCTTCTGTATACATTTTTAAAATTTATTTCAGCTCTATTTGTTAGTAGTCTCTGGTCATATTAATAATTCTCTGGTTATATTACCCATTAAGAGGAGTCATTCTGTTGGGAACATTTCAGGTCTAATGCTAAAGATTTTTGTAGCATATCCCTCTTAAATGCCTCAGTCTATGTTCCCTTTATGTCTTCTGATCACTCCTTTTATCCTTCCTGGTCACTCCCTCAGGTTCATCAGCACCTAGCTCAGTCTTAGATATGAAAGTTATAATGCAAACAACTCTAAATTAAGTACAGTTTTGTCTCTTTCTATACAAATAAGCCTCTATTTTTATTTATCGTTGTACCATTTATTTCAATGTATGGCAGGTTCTCCAGCAAGTGGATAACAAGTTTATTGCCTGTTTAATGAGCACTAAGACTGATGAGATGGGTGAGGCAGGTAAGAATGGAGTTTAGCCTTGACTATTAACCAGCTGCTCTTCTGACAGACTCGAATCCGGCCTAATACACACAGACACACACACAGACACACACACACACAGACACACACAGAGACACACAGACAATACCATTGCAGTGACTTGGAAAGATTAGGGAAAATAAATCTAAATTAATATTGTGGAATGACATTTTTTTTTCCTGGAATGATAGTTTTAAAACCCATTTAGTTTTATAAACACAAACATACATATATAAGACATACATATATAAACTACATGTTAAGCTTATATATATACATATATAAGACATACATATATAAACTACTATTAAACAGTAGTTACTTTGGGAGTGAGAATGGGAGTGGGAAAAGGGGGAATTTCATGTTTTACTTTTTAAAATATTTTGTATTGTTTAACTTTTAAATAATGATTTTTGTTTTTTTAATCCTCACCCGAGGATATTTTTGCATTGATTTTTAGAGAGAGTGGAAGAGAGAGAGAAAGACAGAAATATCGATGTGAGAGAAACACATCAATTGGTTGCCTCCTGCACACATCCTGACCAGGGACTGGGCCAAGGAAGAGCCTGCAACCAAAGTACGTGCCCTTGACCAGAATTGAACCCGGGACCCTTTGGTCTACAGGCCAGTGCTCTATCCACTGAGCCAACCCGGCTAGGCTAAATAATGTTTTAATATATTCCCGTTATAATAATAGAAAATTTAGCCCAATCTGTGTGGCTCAGTGGTTGAGCATTGACCCATGCACTAAGAGGTCACCAGTTTGATTCCTACTCAGAGCACATGCCTGGGTTGTGGGCTCGATCCCTAATAGGAGGCAGTGGACTAATGTTTCTCTCTCATCAATATTTCTCTCTCTCTCTCTCTCTCTCTCTCTCTCTCCCTATCTCTCTAAAAATCAATATAAACATATTTTTTTTAAAAAGAAAGTTTATATAATGAACTATACTAGGTTTGTAAAAAGTTAAATATAATCTCCCGGTGACTGCTTCAATAAAACAATAATAGTTTGTAAGTCCTAGTAACTCATTCAATAAATATTGAGTGCCTTTTGTATGTCCAGAACTGTATTAGGTCCTAGGGATACAATGGGGGTGTGTGTGTGTGGAAATACATGCAGGAGAAACAGATAATTACAGAAATCCTATATAATAAAAGCCCAGCGACCAGATGGCAGAACGACCAGAATGACCAGTCGACCAGTCGCTATGATGTGCACTGACCACCAGGGGGCAGACGCTCAACACAGGAGCTGCCCCCGGTGGTCAGTGTTCTACCACAGCGGGAGCGCCGCTTGGCTGACTGGGATGAGCAGCTGCTCCTGCTGCAAACCCTGGGCCAATGGGTAGGAACCCGGGCTGGGATCATCGCCTCCTCACCCCAGGATCCTCCTCCTTGCTCCCTGCCGCACAGGCCATGCAGCACCCCCACTGCTGCCGGGCTCACAGAGCTGACCCTGGAGGCTGGGAGGCGGTTCGTGGCCACTGTGGGGTGAAGACCAAAATTATCCGTTCAATTTTATGACAGCAGAAGTCAGGAACTCAAGTGAAAACTGTTTCAAAAATAGGGAGGATGCTGATGGAGACTGCAAGGAGAGACTCAAAAATCTGTGACATGGCCCTAGCTGGTTTTGCTCAATGGATAGAGTGTCAGCCTGCGGACTGAAGGGTCCCAGGTTTGATTCCAGTTAAGGACACGTGCCCAGGTTGCAGACTCAATGCCCAGTAGGGGGCGTGCAGGAGACAGCTGATCAATGATTTTCTTTCATCATTGATGTTTCTAATTCTCTCTCCTTCTCCCTTCCTCTCTGAAATCAATAAAAATATATACATTTTAAAAAATCTGTGACATGGAAGAGGGACTGAAAGAGGGTGAGGGTGAGAAAAGGCTTTTTCCTTAAATATATTTTTATTGATTTCAGAGAGGAAGGGGAGAGAGTGATAGAAACATCAATGATGAGAGAGAATCGTTGATTGGCTGCCTCTTGCACACCCCACACTGGGGATCAAGCCCGCAACCCAGGCATGTGCCCTGACCAGGAATCGAATCATTACTTCCTGGTTGACAGGTCAACACCCAACCACTGAGCCATGCCAGGCGGCTTTTTTCTTCTCTTTTCTTTTTCAGTATTTTTATTGATTTCAGAAAGGAAGGGAGAGGGAGAGAGAGATAGAAACATCAATGATGAGAAAAAGATCATTGATCAGCTACCTCCTGCATGCCCCCTACTGTGGATCGAGCCCACAACCCGGGGAATTGAATCGTGACCTCCTGGTTCATAGGTCAATGTTCAATCACTGAGCTACACTGGCTGGGCTAGATAATATATTTTCCTAAATAAAAATGTGTTTTGCCCTGGCTGGTTTGGCTTAGTGGATAGAGCGTCGGCTTGTGGACTGAAGGGTCCCAGGTTCAATTCCGGTCAAGGGCACATGCCTGGGTTGTGGGCTCTATTCCCGGTAGGGGGCATGCAGGAGGCAGCTGATCAATGATTCTTTCTCATCATTGATATTTCTGTCTCTCTCTCTCTCCCTTGCTCGTTGAAATCAATAAATATATATATATTTTAAAAATGTTTTTATTGTTGCTCATGAATACCAAAAGCAACCTATTCCTATAACTGGTATTTTAATATCTGCCCATATTTTTGTAATGAATAAATATGTTATTGTTTTAAATTATAGTGAAATTATCATATATCAGCATTTTTAATGGAATGTTTCCACCTACAGTAAAATAGTTTTTCAGTTATGATACCCTGAAGAATAAAGATTCATTCATTTATTCTGTAAACAATTATTTTTTTTAATATATTTCATTGATTTTTTACAGAGAGGAAGGGAGAGAGATAGAGAGCCAGAAACATCGATGAGAGAGAGACATCGATCAGCCGCCTCCTGCACATCTTCCACTGGGGATGTGCCCGCAACCCAGGCACATGCCCTTGACCAGAACCGAACCCGGGACCTTTCAGTCCGCAGGCCAACGCTCTATCCACTGAGCCAAACCGGTTTCAGCCTGTAAACAATTATTGAGTGCCTATTATGTACCTGACTGCTGTTCCACATGCTGGAACTATGACAGACAGAAATCCTTGCCCATATGAAACTTGTATTGTGTTGGAATATTAAAAGTACAGCTTCCAGCATTAGCCAATTACCTTAATATATTCTGCTTCATTCAAGGAATGAAAAAGGTGTGAACACTATTGGAGACTATAAACCATTCCTCCGGAGTCAGGTACAGGATAGATTTTTTAGGGTCACTGGCTCTTGGTAATTCACGTTAGCTCTTGTTTTAAAATTCGAGGGCACTCCCTCACAATTTATTTATTTCATTGTCTTGCCCAATACAGGATGTTCAGTATTCATCACAACCAGCTGCAACTCCTCCTATCCTCAAAGGACTTTACAATTCAACTTTTTGGGTCCTGTTCCTGTGTTTGAACATGCTGTCAGAAAAATTTTTTCCTTTTTTCTTTAAGTCTTAAGCTCTCATGCCATGAATTTGATAGTATCATAGAAACAAGTTTTAAATCTTTAGTTCAGTCTGGAAACTAAATCAAGAGAAAGGCATTATCTGTTTTGATCAAATTCAAGAGAACTTTTATTTCAATGTAATACATAGCACTAAACCTCAACGCTTTGGCCAAAAGTTTTAAAATTATAAGCTAAGCCCTAGCCGGTTTTGCTCAGTGGATAGAGTGTTGGCATGCGGACTGAAGGGTCCTGGGTTTGATTCCCATCAACGGCATGTACCTTGGTTGCAGGCTCCTCCCTGGCCCGGGTCCTGGTTGGTGTCTGTGCAGGAGGCAACCAACTGATGTGTTTCTCTCCCATCGATATTTCTCTCTGTCTTTCCCTCTCTCTAAAAATCAATGGAAAAATATCCTCGGGTAAGGATTAAAAAAAAATTATAAGCTAAAAAAGATGTAGTAATATAAGTGAAAATCAGTGGTCTTGTCAATGAGAAAAAGATTAGTTATGGCTTTGGGGTCAGGACATTCTGCCTCCTCTCTTGCACTTGAGTGTCTAAAGCCTTGCTACTCAAAGTCTGTAAGTAGCGTCATCACCTGGGAGTTTATTAGAATTGCAGAAGCTTGTGCCCCACCCCTAACTTACTGAATCAGAATCTGCATTTCAATAAGATCCCTTGGTGATTCATATGCCCATCAAAATTTGAGAAGCCTGATTCTAAATCAGGGCAAACTGTGGCTGGTGGACCAGATCCAGCCATCACCTGTTTTTGTATAGCCAGGTAGATAAGAATGGTTTTTAGATGATTAAATAGTTGGAAAAAAGACAAGAATATTTCTTGATGCATCAAAATTATACAGCCCTAACTGGTTTGGCTGAGTGGATAGAGTGTTGGCCCACAGACTAAAGGGTCCCGGTTCAATTCCAGTCAAGGACATGTACCTTGGTTGTAGGCTCGATCCCCAGTAGGGGACATGCAGGAGGCAGCTGATTGATGTTTCTCTCTCATCTAATGTTTCTCTCTATTCCTCTCCCTTCCTTTCTGTAAATCAATAAAAATATATTTTAAAAAATTACACATAAAGTTTTATGGGAACACAGCTATAATATTCACATATTGTCTGTGGCTGCTTTGGTTTCAAAATGAAGAATTGAGTAGTTGTGACAGAAACCCTATGTCCCAAAAACCTAAAATATTTACTCCTGGTCCTTCACAGAAAAAAAATTTCTGAACTCTGATCTAAAGTGTAGTAGAATTACATTCTTCATGGGTTTCAGGGTAACTTGCAAATTAAGGTCAGCTGATTATAATAATGTATTGTTTACTGATCCTTCATTTTATCAAATTTGAGTTAATAAAGCAAAATCAGTTATTTAAAGCTTAAAATGTATGGTTAGCCTGGTTCACATGGCTCAGTGGTTGAGCACTGATCTGTGAACCAGGAGGTCACAGTTTGATTCCTGGTCAGGGCACATACCTGGGTTGCAGGCTTGAACCCCGGTGTGGGGCGAGCAAGAAGCTGCCGATCAATGATTCTCTCTCACTCTCTCCTTTCTTCTCGAAAATAAATTTTAAAAATATATATTTAAAAAAATAGATAAATTTGTTGTAGTTATTCCCCATAATTTCATTTATTTTTAGGAACTAAGATACATTTGTTACTACTCAGTATGTTTCTCGTATGCTCACCTGTTAGTGTGAATTAATTTTTTTCTCCCTCAACACAACATGATTATTTTAATGTTGATCTGATAATTTGAAGCTTCAGTAATCCTTGATAATCTTCTAGGTGGAAATTTGCTAGTCTTGGTGGATCAGCATGCTGCCCATGAGCGTGTCCGTTTGGAGCAGCTTATTATTGGTAAGGATCTTTTTGGGGTTAGAACAGATTTGAGACTCCAGCAGAATTAGTATGACTGAAAGAGTTTTTCTGACTCTGACTGCTGTGAGGAAAATGAATTGTATGTTTAAAAAATTAAGCTGAGCCCTAGCATCAGCCTGTGAACTGAAGGCTCAAGGGTTCGATTCCAAGGGCATGTACCTCCTTTGCAGGCTCCATCCACAGCCAGGAGGCAACCAATCAATTGATGTCTCTCTCTTTCTCTCTCTCTCTCTCTCAAAAAAAATCAGTGGAAAAATATCCTCAGAAGAAGATTAACAAACAACAACAACAACAAAACCCCACAAAATTAAGTTGAAGTCTTCTGGTTTGCCTTCTTTTATTACTGAAAGAATGTAATAGTTCACTTTACTAATTCAGTCATTAGATCTTACATTGTCAAAGATACATTTGCTGCCCAGCCAGCGTGGCTCAATGATTGAGTGTCAACCTAGGAGGTCACAGTTTGATTCCTAGTCGGGGCACAAGCATGGGTTGTGGGCTCAATCCCTAGTGTGGGGCGTGCAGGAGGCAGCCAATCAATGATTCTCTCTCATCACTGATGTTTCTATCTCTCCCTCTCCCTTCCTCTCTGAAATCAGTAAAAATATTTTTTAAACTTTTTAAAAAATATATATATTTGCTATATATTTATCATCAACCTTAAGGATTGGGTGTCTAAGGATTATGCTTCTCATCATGAAGCAGTGTGTTCCCCATCAGGTAAAATATCAGGAAAATCTTTACTCCTGTGATCAAGTAATAAAAAACCTAATGTCAAAGAGTTAAGTAAGTGAGGACCTGGGGAGATATTTTACTCCCTGTTCAGTTTTTCTTGTAAAATGAAGACCCAGTTGTTGGAAAAACTTACTTGCTATAGGCCCTGGACCATTTGAGAATAGTACTATTGACTGTCTCTTCAGAGACTGGGAAACCCTTCTGAAGAAATGGGGACGCCTTCTTGAGCCACAGGACTGTACAGTAAACCTATTTTATTTCCTCAGTAATCCACACTATTCACCTCTGGGGACTGGCTATCTCCGGAACATTGCATTGTTCATTTGAACGTAAGATTTAAGTCTTACAGTTCTTACTTTTGAAAATACTGCTAAGATGAAATAGCAGCTGGGTATTTACTAGTTTTACTTTAATAATGGAAATTCAAAGCCTAAAACTACATTGAACACAGTGCTATCCACTGTAGTAATCACATGGGCTTGCCTTACCATGTTTCATTTTTATCTGAATCTAGAAAACTTCACTTCCTACTCTTAACCCATTCATCGTTCTCCCAATAGATTCCTATGAGAAACAACAGCCACAAGGCTCTGGTCGGAAAAAATTACTGTCTTCCACTATAAGCCCTCCACTAGAGATAACAGTGACAGAGGAACAAAGGAGACTCTTATGGTTAGTACCGCCATGAGGATGGGGTGTTGATAGTGTAAATATTCACAATCTGTGAGGTGTAAGCATAACTATTGTTCATTTTTTCACCTGAGTCACCTGAGACTAAGAGAGGTTACATGACTTATTCAAGGTCATAACAACGATTAAGTGGTGGAGTAGGCACTCAGATGCAGGTTTTCTGACTCCAGATGCTGTTCTTTCCACTGTATCACAGCTGTTGAGTATAGGATAGAGTTTCCCTGATAAATTTTCCCAGCAGTTGGCCTAGAATAATCTTACCATTTCTTGGAACAGTCAGTGTTTATGCTGTGCTGTTTCTGAAAGCAAAGTTACTGCAGTAATTGCTTCCATTCAGCTTTGCTTTGGAGTCTTAGTTTTCATTATCATAATCATACTGGGAAGAAAGTAAAACACTGGGCCGCAAGGAAGGGGAAAATCATATAGTGAATCACAAGATAGGAAGTTTTCCCACTTCTGGGGTGGTACAGATTGTTGGAAATGAAAAAGAGAATTGTCTCTGAATTTATATTTCAGCTTTGGGAATACGCCATTGCCATAAAATCTTTCCCCCTGGGGCATACTTTACATTAGAGGCAGATCCATTTATTTACATCCCGTTAGTCAGGACTTCTTAGCTCCTGGGGCTGTTCATTACCTCCCTGCTTTACTGCTGATTCCAAATACTCTCAGCCCTTTTATTGGTGCCAGACTCCTTCAAGTGCCAGCGTGAGAAGCTAGCAATTGCTCAGGGAAGAATAAAAACTTAGGAACAAGACTTAGTACTAAGTTGATTCTCTCAGTGGAAAAGAGGGTGAAGAAAGAAAGATACTGTAATTCAAAAATAAAATAAAATTCTAAACAAATACTCATAAATATGAGAAAACAATATAACATAAAGCTTGTGGCAGCTTTTGAGAAAATATCAGGTATTTGGAACCAGTAGTGAAACATGAATGAAGTAATGATTTTACATTTGAGATTGTCTCTTTAGGTGTTACCACAAAAATCTGGAAGATCTGGGCCTTGGAATTATATTTCCAGATACTAGTGATTCTCTGGTCCTTGTAGGAAAAGTACCACTCTGTTTTGTAGAAAGAGAAGCCAATGAACTTCGAAGAGGAAGATCTACGGTGACCAAGAGTATTGTGGAGGTAAGGCATAGTTGCAGATGTTAAATTGCTGAGTGATAGTAACCTCCTATTTTGTTTAGATACTATATTCATGTTTTATTCAGTAAGCATTTATGAAATACCTGCTGTGTTCCAGGTACTAGAGAGCGAAAGATGAATTAGCTCAAGGTGAGGAAGAAGGACATTTAAGTAATTATAACAATGACATTTGGGCAGAAGTATGTTCAAAAGTGCTATGGCCCTGGCTGATGTGGCTCAGTTAGTTGAGTGTCATCCTGTGCACCAAAAGGTTGCTGGTTCTCTTCCTATCTCTTTAAAAATCAATTTTAAAAAATACCTTTATAAGCGCTATGGGCCCTGCTTGGGTAGTTCAGTTGGTTAGAATATCATCTCATACGCCAAGGTTTCAGATTTGATCCCCTGTCAGGGTACATACAAGAATCAACCAATGAATGCATAAATCAGTGGAACAAGCTGATGTTTCTCTGTTGTCTCTTTTTCTCTCCCCCCCCGCCACCTTCTCTCTAGAGCAGGGGTCCTCAAACTTTTTAAACAGGGGGCCAGTTCACTGTCCCTCAGACCATTGGAGGGCCGGACTATAGTTCTAAAAAAACTATGAACAAATTCTTACGCACACTGCACATATCTTATTTTGAAGTAAAAAAACAAAATGGGAACAAATACAATATTTGTATTTGCATGTGGCCTGTGGGCCATAGTTTGAGGACCCCTGCTCTAGAGTCAATAAATAAAAAATATATAAGTAAAAATAAGATAAAAAGGAAATGTCTTGTAAAACACCAGGAGCCTGCCAAATACAGAAGAGAGGAGAAGGGCATTCTAAACAGAGGAACAGATATTAGAAATTTGATGCAAATCCTGTGTATAGGGAACTACCAATATAAATAGTTCAATTAAGATCTATATGGAGTAGTGGTGGGACTAGATGAAACTAGATAGGTTGTTAAGACTAAATCATAAAGGCATAGCATATTCTGCTCAGTAGTTTGCATTTCATCCTATGGGCAGCCATGAAGAAGAGTGAGATACATTTCAGCACAGCATTTTAGTATGACTACATGTATATGTTACGGCAAAGGTCTGGAAAGCTGCTCCTGGGATGTAGCATTGTGGGAGTTGAAGAGGACCGTTACTTCTTACTTTACTTATGTTTCTTTTTTTCTTTTAAAAAAACATAATTTATTTTGTCTTTATTGCTTTCCCCCCCCTCCTTTTCTGTTTTCTATTAGCATTTTCTTCATTTCTCCACCCCCCACCCCATTGGTTTAGAAGTTAGATTTGCATATTTAACCAAGTTTAGAAGAAATTTGTTTCTCCGTTTTATTCTTAAACCGCACAAAAATCAACCATCACTCCACTCCCATTTTCCATGTCGTTGTTGCCTATTTTAATTTCACCTTATTTTTAATCTCCCTGGTAGTCATTAATTTTAAAGTCAGTATTTATTTAGATTAACCAGAATGTTTAACAGAGTCTTTGTTCACTGTTGCTTCTTGCATCCTACTTTGTGTTCAATTTTTTTTACTGAAATAAATCTCTTAAAAATTCTTTTGTTTACGAGTCCATTAATGATAATCTGTCTTTGAAAACAACTTTATTTTGCCTTCACACTTGTATAATTGTCTAGCTAAAAACAGAATTCCATATTGTCAGTTATCAGCATTTTGAAAATACTCAATTACTTTTTTTGTGTGATGACAAGGAGATTAATGCCTAGATTATTGAGGGAAGGATTTATTCCTTTAGGGGCATAATTTACATCAGAGGCCACTAATCTCAACATTAAATATTAAAGAAATAAAATATTTAATTAAAAACAAAAATCAGTCTTACCTCCAAACTCAAATAAATACAATATTCCATTACTTCTGACATTCTATTTTTGCTACTAAAGACCATTGTCAATCTAATCATTATTCTGTAGATAAATTGATTTTCTCTCTGGTTTAAGATTTTGTCTTTGGTATTCTGCAGTTTCCCTATGATTTATCTTTGGAAAATGAATTTATTTTCATTTCCTTCTTGAGATTCATCATACTTCTTCACTATGGAAAATGTACACTTATTATAATTTCAAACATTGCTTCTCCCTCATTTCTTGTCTCTGAAAAATCCTGTAAGATGTCTACTTGACCTTATCTTTCTCTTTTCCATGTCTTTTACCTTTCTTTCATACTTCCCATTGCTTTATCTCTCTGTGATGTAGTCTGGGAAATTTCCTCATCTTCCAGTGAACTAAATTCTCTTTTCACCTACTATTTAATTAGATGTTTAACTTGTCCACTGAGTTTTTTAAAATTTCAATCAGTCTATTTTTTATTTCCAAAATTTTGGTTCTTAAATCTATCAGTTCTTTTTTCATGGTATCCTATTTTATTCATTATGGTTCTTACTCCTTCATCTCTAGCACTTTCTGTTTGGAGCACAGGCAAATCCGCATCAACTTAGTGTACCATTTTTCTAGAAATCTGAATTACTTTATTAATATATAAAAATAAAAATTAGAAGGTATACTTAGTGGATAAATTGTGAGATAGGCTGATATGGGAAAGATTTGAGGTAGGCAGAGCAGCTAAGAGGTTATTGCACTGGTTCAAATAGGAGAGGATGAAGATTGGACTAAGTCAGTAGCAGTGATAATGCAGAGGAGGAACACAATTTGGAAGGTAGAATTACAACCTAGTGTTGTAATGTACCCCGCGAATCACAGAAGGACGCCTCAAGAAGTCGAATTAAACAGTCACATTTATTGCAATCCGGGACTATGAGGGGCCATTCCCAAATCTCAGAGCCATAAGATGGTGGCAAAACCAGACTTATATAGGCAAAAATCACAAAGGTATTGATTACATCCCAGGAAAAAAAAATTTAGGCCTTCCCAGGTGAAGGAAAAATGTGCTTTCTAAAACTAGTAAGATAACAATCAATGGGCTAGTCATTCAATCAATAAGGCATTCAATCGAATGGGATGACTTATACAATTTAGAAAATCAAAGTAACCTGTCCATTGTTAAACAAAGCAAATAGGTACCATACTTCACTAGTAAGCAATAGAATATAAAAGAACAGATAAGTAATGATTCTGAGGGTTCTAACTCAGATGACTGGAAGGAGGGTGGTGCCATTGCCAGGAAAAGGAAATAGAGGAGGAGTACTAGTACATCTGTCTGGGGAGTTAGAATCTAAGTCTAGGTTTACTAGTAGATACATTGAATGTCTTCAAATGGGGATGTCCAGTAGATAGGCAGACTTACAGACCTAGCACTTGGGAAAGAAGTCTGGGCTACCCATCTCTATTTGGAAGTTAACAGTATATATATATTTTGATAATATCAGAAGCTGGTAAAGGGTCTAAAGCAGCAGTTCTCAACCTGTGGGTTGCCACCCCTTTGGGGGTCAAACGACCCTTTCACAGGGGTCGCCTAAGACCATCGGAAAACACACATATAATTACATATTGTTTTTGTGATTAATCACTATGCTTTAAGTATGTTCAATTTGTAACATTGAAAATACATCCTGCATATCAGATATTTACATTACGATTCATAATAGTAGCAAAATGACAGTTTTGAAGTAGCAACGAAAATAATTTTATGGTTGGGGGTCACCACAACATGAGGAACTGTATTAAAGGGTCACGGTATTAGGAAGGTTGAGAACCACTGGTCTAAAGGAAGTGAGATTGTCCAGGGGAAGTATGAAGAATAAAAAGAGAAAAGAGCAAAGTGCGGAACATTCAGCAAATGTTTTAGCAAAGGTCTGGAAAGCTACTGCCTAAAGGAAGAAACTGTAAAAGATCATTGAATATTGTTGTAACATACCCCGCGAATCACAGAGGACGCCTCAAGAAGTCGAATTAAACAGTCACATTTATTGCAATTCGGGACTATGAGGGGCCATTCCCAAATCTCAGAGCCATAAGATGGTGGCAAAACCAGACTTCTATAGGCAAAAATCACAAAGGTATTGATTGCCTCCCAGGGTTTGGAATGAGGCACCTGGCTCGCAAAAAAGCAGATTACAGAAGCAGAATTAAGCATGTTAATTACAGTTTCGGGTCTCGGGGTCACTGAATTGACAGAAATACATTATCTAGAGTCCTTGGGTAACCTGGGTTAAACTTAGGCATGTTATCTAAATTACAGTTTTGGGTCTCCGGATCACTGAGTTGATAGAAACACGTTATCTAGAGCCCTCGGGTCTCCCGACCACTGAGTTGTCAGGACAATTTAGAGTAATTGTGCTGTTCTGGTCTCGGGACCACTAAGGCAGCTGGAACCCACCACCTGTGGCCACTAAAACAATTTAGGGTAATTGTGCTGTCCTGTTTCCAGGTACAGTAGAATGTGCTCTCTAAGACCAGTATGATAACAATCAATGGAATAGTCATTCAATCGATAAGGCATTCAATCGAATGGGATGACTTATACGATTTAGAAAATCAAAGTAACCTGTCCATTGTTAAACAAGCAAATAGGTACCATACTTCAGTATATTTGGTCAGTGAGGGAGGAGGAAAATTGGGGAAAAGTAATAGTGCCCAAGCGAAGGAAAGTTTTAAGCAAGAAGGAAATGGTTAACAATAGCGAATTGGATTTGGCAGTGATGAGGACAGTGGTTACCTTGTAGAATCCTTTCCTGGGAGTCGGGTGGGACAGAAGACAGATTGCTCTGGGTCAGGGAGGGAGTGAAGGGAGGGGGAGTGGAACGAACTATGCTACTCTTTCAAGAACTTTGGCTGCATACAGAAGAGAGCTTTTGGATTACGTTGATTTCACCCTTTCCAAAACTGCCCTTTGATCAGACAACCTTGGCTTTGTTTTCAGCATCGCTCTTTTCTCCCAACATAGCTTATTTTTCCAAGGCTCCTCCTCCAAATTGTCTTAAATCCAAAAGATAGGATCTGTTAGAATCTTTTGTTATTCAATCTCTAAGTATTTAACCAGAAAATTCCAATAAAAACTTTTCGTAAAGTGACTTCAAAGACTGTTGGTAAGGAGTTTATTTCGGATTGAAACAAAGCTTATGGTTTCAGAAAATCTTGATTATGTTAAGTCAGGCTGATCAGGAGAGATTCTGTTGATGCTGGAAGAAGCTGGAATAGTTTTGGTGTCTTAAAGAAAAGGTAACTACTTGGACCCTACCAGTTGAACGATCACTAATACATCTTTCTATAAAGTTCTATCCTCTAGCCCAGGGGTGGGCAAACTTTTTGAATCAAGGGCCACAATGGGTTCTTAAACTGGACTGGAGGCCGGAACAAAAGCATGGATGGAGGGTTTGTGTGAACGAATATAAATTCAAAGTAAACATTATTACATAAAAGGGCATGGTCTTTTTTTTTTTTTTTTTAGTTTTATTCATTTCTAACGGGCAGGATCCGGTCTGCGGGCCGTAGTTTGCCCATGGCTGCTCCAGCCTGATGAATGAGCCGTTTAACATATAAATTATCTAGCATCAATTGAATGATTGAACTATGAAATAAACAGACAGTAAGATCTATCTCCCCCTCATCAGGCTTACAAACTGTTGTTTTACAAGTCCCAGATATACAGGCACAAGAGAGAATAGCAAAGAAGTTAGGTTTTATCTGTATCCACACTAAGCCTTGTTAGTGGGGTCAGGTATTAAGAGACATCTTTCTGTGTAGATTTGTTTGGAAAAATAGGTGGCTTTTAAAAAATGCATAGTATTTACAACCTAGCTGTTTATAACTTTGCTCATTTAAAAGCATTTTGGACTAGAGTGTACATGTTGTAATCTTAGGAAGCTAATTTATACATTGCCATTTCTAGGAGTAAAGAAATCCTGTGTTTTCTTATAATGAAATATTATATGTGCCGTATCACAAAACAGTTACTTCCAGAAGTTAAACAAAGTGGTAGTATGAACTAGTGTCTGCTTTAAATTTCTTTAAAGTCCTTTTGTAAATGTTAACTTCTTCAGGAATATAATTGTTAAAAGGGCTGCCCTTGGGACAGAGATATACTAGTGAGGAGAAACTTCTCAACAAGATTCCTCAGAAAATACGATTTTTGACCTGAGGGGAATTGTATAAAAAAAAAGCCCATGGGAACTAACGTGACTGCTTATGTTTGTGATATCTAAGCAAGTGTTATACTGAGTGCACAGTTGTGGATGGTCCTTGTATATTTATTCAGTTTCTGTGTAATATTACACTTGTTCTGCTTGAGATTATGAATACAAACAGACAGCCACTTAGTGAGATGCCTCCCTGCTATTTAGAATCAGTTGAATCATCAAGGCTACTCTCACCAGTTACATAACCTCATGAGTTGATGAGCTGTCTCTGGAGGAACTTTCAGTAGCTAATATATTCTCTATCCAATAAGAGTTCTAGTCAGTTGTCTTGGTATTGCATATTTAAAGTGCCTTACAATGAATAAATTATTTGCACCTAAGTGCTGTATTGCTGGAACTCTCCTTCAGGAGGCATATTTTAAAGAAGAAAATTGGGATATTTGTGAACTATCAAAGGGCAAGTATAATGTAACAGTAAATTAATGCCTGTTTTCCTTTTTTCTTTGTAGGAATTTATTCGAGAACAAGTGGAGGTAAACTTTTCTCTTCTTTGGGGTTTCACACAAGGGCACCACACAAAAGGCGCTATTGTCCCATTTCCTTTCCCATTAATAAAGCTTGTGTTTATGCATTAGCTACTCCAGACCACAGGAGGCATCCAAAGGACATTGCCACTGACGGTCCAGAAGGTGTTGGCATCTCAAGCCTGCCATGGTAAGACCTAACAAACAGCGACAAGCATCTCTGCATGCTGAACACTGGCAGGGGTACAGAACGTATGAAAGAAGTGGAAGGCACATTTACTACTCGCCTCTGGGTGGGCACAATTCAGGTCAAGAAACTGAACACACTCAAAATGAACACTAGAAAACTACGTTTACAAAGTAAAAATACCAACACACAGATTTTACCATAATGCAGCCTGACTTATATGCATGGAAGAGTAACTCCTAGAGGAGATATATTTTGAGTCAAGTTTTGAATGAGCTGAGGGACATGGATTCACGATAGAAGGGAAAGTTTACTGCAGGGGGAAGAAATAGGCTGTGCAGACCAGAGGCACAAATTAGTTATATGAGGCACAGCAAAGAGTATCAACAAATTAGATTGGTAAGAAAGAAGCCTAAAAGGTCACAACAAAACCTTTAGATTTTATACAGAAGGCATTAGAATCATCAAGGGTTCTTGAGTAGGATAATACAATAAAACTAGAGGCCTGGTGCACAAAATTTCATGCATGGGTAGGGTCCCTAGGCCTGGCTGGCGATCAGGGCCTTCTGGCTGCCGGCTGGGGCCTTCCTTCCCTGGCTGCTGGCTGGGGCTTCCTTCTTCCACGCCACCCCCTGGTGGTCAGCACACATCATAGCAAGCGATTGAACTTCCGGTCTCCCAGTCAAACTCCGAGGGGACACTTTGCATATTAACCTGTATGTATGTGTACACACACACACACACACACACACACATATATAGTGGTGTCGGAGGAACTTACCTTAGGGGTCCTGACAGCTACAGAATCCCCTGCAACTGTCATTTGACCACAAAGGGGTCTCCAGTTAACTGACACCCTCCTCTGATCTCTCTCCATCAATCTTCTCTTCACTTCCTGTCTTTTCTAGCTAAGTAGCCAATCACTCATTTTCTCCTGTAAATATCCTAAACTCCTTTTGTCCTGTCTTTACTCCTCAAATGTACACCATCAAAATTCACCATCTCTACCTTCAGAATGTATCTTAAATCTGTCTGACATGATCTGTTTCCAGAGGACTGGGTGCCACTTGAGTCTTCTTAGTCTCCCCACATCCATTCTGTCTCTGCTTCAAGCTACTTTTCCCTCAGTACCCAGAGGAATCTTTTTGAAATGTCCCTTTGAGCATGTCATTCTTCTAACTAAAAGGTGTCAAGACTATTCATTGCTGTTAAGATAAAAATTTTATTCCTCACCATGTCTTGCTGGGGGCTTCATGATCTGGCCCCTGCCTCATTTCATCTCACTCTCCACCTTGCCCTTTACAGTCTAGCTCATTTCTTGGCCTAGTTCTTATGTTTCTGCACCTCTGCATTTGCCCTTTCCTCCATCTGAAATGCCTTTCCAATTCCTTCTTGTCTTTCTAAACTTAAGGTCTCAGATTAAATATCATTTTGCCAGGGAAACCTTCCCTGACCTCCTAAACTGGGTTTTTCTATTACATATTCTTTCATACCCTACATTTTACAAGACTTATAATTTAAATCTACAATATAAAATGCATTTTATATATTTATATATAAATATGTATTTTACAAATATAATTTATCATTTAAGTTATTGTATAATTACTTATTTAATGTTTGTCTCACCTCTTAGACCCATTAGATCATAAACTTCATAAGGGTGAAGACCCTTTTCTCATTCACTGCGTGGCATAGCCCCTAATACAAAGTATATACTTAAGAATATTTATTGATTAAGTTAATGTATGCATAAAGGCAGTTCTAACAATATGCGTTTAGATTAAGATTATTATGGAAATAAAAAAAGAAGCAAATGAAATGGACATTGTAGAAAACAGAGATCTTGGTGCTAGATTGGCTATGGACAAAAGATGACCTTGATTCCTAAACATATAAGAAGTAGGCAAAAATATTGCTCTTACCTCTTTGAGAAAAACTCTGAAAGAAAAGCCTAACAAGTTAAGGAATCCCTCCAACAAAGATTAGAAAGACAAAGACTCCATAAGGAAAAGCTGAGAGAGGTCAGTCCTGAGGCCTGAGATTCAAGCAGTATTAAAGTCACATGAGACGGCCTCAGAAACATTGTACTTTTCCCAGATACTTGGCTCTGACCCAGGGTCAGCATTGGTTTCCCACCGTATACACCATAACCTTCTTGTTTCTGTCTTTCGTTTAGGGGCCATTAAGTTTAATGATGGCCTGAGCTTAGAGGAGAGCTATCGCCTTATTGAAGCCCTGTCCTGGTGCCAGCTGCCATTCCAGTGTGCTCATGGGAGACCTTCTATGCTGCCGTTGGCTGACATAGACCACTTGGAGCAGGAAAAACAGGTACAGTGATGACTAACAGAAGAGGAAGCAAAGTTTATCTGCTTTTCCTTTTTCAGATGCTATTATCCAAATGTAATGTCTTAATCCTTCCCAAAACAGGAGATTTTTGAAAATTACACACTGAAAGTTTATGTAAAGTCTCACCATTTCAGCTTCTAGCTCAAATTCAAAATGGAGCTTAGGTGGAACTGTCAGATTATACACATAATGCCTGTGTATTTTTTAAGTTTAACACATGTACAAACTGGTGTATTCTGGACATCTGTTGCCTACTGGCTCTAGATTTGATAAGATGCAGAAGTTCAGGGGTTACAGAAAGTTGGTGGAAACAGCAAATTCACTGCTGGCAAATGGAACCTAAACAGCCAGTTGCTTGGTGGCACTTGTTGGAAATGGTAGCTACCTCCAAGGACCTCTAGAGTTATGATTTGGGCATCATCAGGCCAGGGGAGGCAAGCTTAGATTTCCACATCAAGCTTTTGGCCCTGATTACTCAGCAGCCCAGGAACAATGATGTCAATACAATAAAGGCACAGTGATTAAATTAAAGAACTTTTCCTGTCCTTGTTACAATCTTAAATGAAACAGAACATGAGAGTATGATAGGACTATCCATGTTGCTGCTTTCCAAAATATTATTTATGTTTTTTTTAATCCTCACCCAAGGATATGTTTTTATTGATTTTAGAGAGAGGAATGGAGAGGGAGAGAGAGAGACATCGATGAGAGAGAGACATCAACCAGTTACCTCCTGTAGGCACCAGGGGTCGAACTCACAACCTAGGTATGTGCCTGACTGGGAATTGGATCTGAAACCTTTTGGCATATGGGGGATGACGCTCCAACCAACTGCGCCACTTGGCTGGGACCTAAATCTTTTCTTTTGCTTACCTTTCCTGTTAAGGGCTATAAAGTCTTTTCTTGTATGGAGTTTTCAGGCATTGATGTTTTCTTAATAATCCAGTACATTTTACTCCATTAAAAACTTTTTTTTTGCCTGGCTGGTGTGGCTTAGTGGTTTAGTGTCAACCTATGAGTTGAGGTCACAATTTGATTCCTGGTGAAGGCACATGCCCAGGTGTGGGCTTGGTCACCAGGAGGGGGCGTCCAGGAGACAGCCAATTGATTCTCTCTCATCATTGATGTTTCTATCTCTCTCTCCCTCTCCCTTCCTCTCGGAAATCAATAAAAACATATTACAAAAAAACACAAAAACCCTTTTTGCTTTATATGACAGTGAAAAAAATGAAAAAAAGTTTTGTCCTTATTCCTGAAGAGATGGGGATCTAGACTTAAAAGTTTTCAGTTCCACTTATCTTAGGAAATCTACACTCTCTTCTGAACCCAGAAATGAGAAATCTAAACACATTTGAATAGCGATAATTAGGAAATACTTATATGCTACTTGGCTTTTCCTACTGGTGATTGGAATTACTTTCTTTCTTCCCATAGATTAAACCCAATCTTGCAAAACTGCGCAAAATGGCCCAGGCCTGGCGTCTCTTTAGAAAAGAAGAATGTGATACAAGGCAAAGCCTGCAGGTATCCATGCCTCCTTGTGAGCCACTATGAGAACAGAATTATTGATCTATAAGGAACCAAAAGGGATGCTAACAATATGCCTCTGAACAGAGAGCATATCAGCAGGTACCAGCCGTCTTGACGGAAGCAGCCGAGTGCACTCATGTCAGTCTTCCTTGAGCAGATGATCCCTCCAGTTGAGTAGTCAGATGGAATTCAAGCCTAAAGACACTTCATTTGCATCTATGGACACAGGAGTCTGCCCTATAATATCTACTTTTTGTAACTTATTTAGGGATAAAGTTTAATGATTGATTGGTTGGTTTATGGTTGTCTTGGGATGTGGGTTTTTGTTTGGTTTGCAATTTTTTCCAGCCTCATAATTTGCATTGATGTTAATTTACCTAATGCTGTGCTCCCAGGAATCAAGTCCCCGCTCCTAGACTGCCCAGGCCTGTCCTCTAGCTTTCCCCTCCCTTCACTTCCCTCTGCTGCTGCTTTACATTCTAAGTCTCAGACTTAGAGTTTCTCTACCCTCAACAAAACTGCTCTCTGCAGTCTTCCATCACACCTATAGTTAGATTATTTTAGGGATAAAAACTATTGATAAGAGAAATAAGGACAAGGATAAAATAGAGAAATTGAAGTTCTTTTCTTCATTTTTTGTTTTACTGTCACTTTAAAAATTCAGAGTGATGTTCATATTCTAGAGCAGTAAAATGATTAAAGTACGATGAGCTTTTTTAAAATATTTTTTGTACTTTATAAAGTATCTCTATGTGAAAGCAATTTTCATATCAAAATGCATTTACTCTTTCAACCTAACCAGATGTGTTCTCTACATTTTTTCAGGAGTCAGGGTTCTTTTGGTCCCTTTCAAATTGTATCTTGTTTTATTACAGTATGTGTATCTAATTGCCTCATAATTTCATTGGGGATTTTTCTGCAAATGCTTGTTATGCCACTTGTATTTCCCCCACCTATTTAGATGACTTGATTTCTGGTTAATAAGACTCAATAGACTAAAGTCCTATAGCAGGGGGAAAAGGCAAAAGAAACAGCTGGCAATGTTTATTGCAACTGGGATGTTATACAATGAAAAAGATGTTGCAATGAAAATTTCCACTTTTTTATTTCCTGACCAGCCTGCTCAAATTGGCCTTTGTATCAGAGGAATTATTTTCCTCCTTTTTAAATACAGGAAACAAACTAGTGCTCATGGAAGAAAAGCTTGTTTGCCAATAGCCTGCAGTGAATCTTACAGGAGCAATGAAGTATTGCATTCATTAGTGTGTGCCTCAGAGAAGGCTCACGGAAAGCCTTCACTGGTTTTCAAGGGGATCCTTGTAGGATTACATAATTGGAACTCTGAAGAATAGGCACCACTGTCTAGAATGGTCTTTATTCTTCTGAATACCCATAGACAGTTTCATAGCGGGGAGAGATGACCTTAGGAAGGAGGGTGCTTTCAGGGGGATTTGCAAGGCTGTCGGGGGCTCTGCCTCCAGGCCCAGCGGGTGCCCTGGCCTCTCGACCTGTCTCCACCCTCCAGAGCTACATGGTGGCCAACTGTTCTGGGAGTTTTAAAATCTTTCCAGATCAGACCAATGTGTAGGATTTAAAAAATGTTACACTACCTCTTATATAAGGATGACAGGGTGCAATTTCAAAAGGTTTTACTATAATCCCAAACCACTGTTTTCTGGAAATTAAGAGAGGATTTGAAAAAGTTCTCCATAAATTATGTAACCAATTTCTCTAGCTAGCCTGGATCAATCAATGTAAGAGATAATTATCCTATTTTAATAATTTATAAACTCAGTAGCATGCATCAGCATAAAACCAACCTACTAGCCAAAAATGTCTAACATTACTTTGACTATTGCCTATTAGGGTTCTGTTCTGGTTTGTTTTTAACTCAGGTGCCATAAGAGAAAAGATACATTTACATTTTCCAATTCATCAATGGAAAATAATTCCATTGATACAAAGGCCTATTTGAGCAGGCTGGTCAGGAAGTACAAAAATGGAAATTCTCATTGCAACATCTTTTTCATCATTTTTAAGATTTACAAAATAATTTTCATATACCTTTCCTATCTTACCAGTATTTGAATTTCCTGGTAACCTATGAAATAAGGTGGTACCATTCTCCCCATTTTACAGAGGGGGTTAAAGCTGAAAAATATTAAGTGATATTGTCTAAGATCACACAGCTAGTAAGTAAAGCTGAGAGTGGTACCCAAGTTTTCTAGCTCCAATAACAATAGCTACCACGTATACATTATTTCAGCCCTTACAACAATCCTGTTAGGAAGCCAGTATCTCTCTTTTACAGTGAGACGACTAAGGCTCAGAGATGTTAACTAGTTTGCTGAGGGCCTACCTAAGAGAACCAGAATCCAGACCCAGGTCTGTGTGACTCTACATTACACACTCCTTCCCATTATTACGTCCATATGCTGCTCTATGTATTTTTAATTTATTAGTGATTTATCAGTTTGAATCTTAGTTCATTTTTATTAGATTCTGGTTATGGAGGCTTCATTAACTTCAGAGTAAAACCTGAGAGATGAGATGGGCAGTGAAGTTGTTCTTGAGAGTTCCTTTTGTTGGTAATGTCCTTCAAATTTGTATTGAGAAATAAAGGTACGTAACTAAGAAACATACATAACTAAGTAGCTACAGTCAGGGAGGAAGACAAGGAAACAGATGATAGAATATGGTAACTTCTTCTAGGTTTAGGGATCACTGCGTTACCAGCTGTATCTTTATTATTGAGATAAGAATCTGTCAGAATTGAGGCTACAGCTGGCAGTAGGAGAGGTCTCAGAAAGCTTAGTGTGTAGGCTAAGAGGAAGGGGAGAGACTGAGGAGAGGGCTCGGGCAAGGTCCTGAACATAGCCGGGCATCTGGAACTCCATGAGTAGCTGACAATGGAGAGGTCTTAGCAATCAGACTCGGAGCAAGGCAAAGGGTCAGAACAAATGAACAGCTGGGATCTGAGTCTAACAGTGAAAAAAACAAGCCAACCAGAAGGAACAGGGCCAAGGAGGGGCCAGGTTCTAGAGCTGTGTGGGGGGCTGAGGAGGTCATGCCAGGTGAGAACAGAGGCAGCCGGTCAGTTCCTAGAGAGCACTGACAGCCAGCTCAGCTGCCGCTTCACCGCTTCACCGGTAACAGCACATCTGAGAGAAGGGAATGGCATTTTCTGGCACAAAGAACTTTCTCCCTGCTCCCACCTGAAGTCCCACCCCATTCCATCAAAACTCTTTACAAAGGCAGGTTAACAATGAGAACCGACTGGCATGTTTGCCACTGTATGTCCTATTTTCACCCTCCCTGAGCTGAAGTTCCTCATTAACAGTGAGATGGCAAAAAGATGAGCTCAGAAGAGAGGAAAAGAAGTCTGGGAAACCAAAACTCTGGATAATGTGTACCAAATAAACTCTTCCTTCTAGCCCTCCATTAATTCCTTTATTCATCTTTCAATAACTCCCGAGTCCCTCCTAAATATATTGCATCAGAAATTGTGGAGGGTATAAAGAAAGAAGGGGTTATCCTGTGGCTTGGAATTTTTCAAACCCTTGGGTCATTTTCAACGCATGCCCATTTGTCAGAGAGCACTCAGAAACATTTGATAAAGTTCAGGCAGCCCCATCAAAGCCCGTGGGAATCTGAGTGTCTTACATATTGGAATCTATGGAGCCAGGAAGCTAGTGACTCAAGTAGCAGTCTGAAGCTTGATTTGGCCTGACTCTGCCCGCACAACTTGCCTGACTAAACAAGTGCTCTTGTTCCCTTCAAAAGCAAGTAATGATGGTCCCACAAAAAAGTGGTTTGGAGTTAGCTACTGTTATTAGTTTATCATTATTCAAGGTAGTTCATCACCTCTTTTTAAGTAGTAAATTGCAGAATTTAACATATAGATTATGAATTTCAGGAATCTTTAATAAAGTTTTTTCTAGGCAGGTCTTAATTCTAAATGTAACATGCCTGAAAAAAAAAACAAAAAAACACTACTGAAAGGCTCCTTCTCTTCCACACAGTATCCTATATGATAAAAGGATAATATGCAAGTCAACTGAACGGCAGAACAACCAGTCGCTATGATGTGCACTGACCACCAGGGAGCAGACGCTCAACGAAGGAGCTGCCCCCTGGTGGTCAGTGTGCTCCCACAGGGGGAGTGCCACTCAGCCAGAAGCTGGGCTCATAGCTGGCAAGCGCAGCTGCAGTGCTGGGAGCCTCTCCCGCCTCCTTGGCCTCACTAAGGATGTCTGACTGACAGTTTAGGCCCACTCCTTGGGGAGGGGGGAGGGGGGGAAAGCAGGCCTAAGCCGTCAGTCAGACATCCCCTGAGGGCTCCCAGACTGCAAGATGGCGCAGGCCGGGCTGAGAGACGCTCCCCCCCACCCCCGGCCCGTGCATGAATTTTGTACACCAGGTCTCTAGTTTAATATAAACATCAAGCAATCATCATTTCAAGTGCAGTTAGGCTCAAATGCTGCCCTCCACTGTGTGAGTGGTGTGAAGACTGAAAGCTTAGACTATAGCTCTTTATTAGTAATAATTGCTCAGCCATTGCACAATACCCTGGAACAGCTGTTTGGTGAATGAATGATTCAAAGCAAAGCAGGCCAGATATAAAACTCTTCCAAGGCACATTTCAAAGTAGTTCCTTTATGTGAACTAGGTGCATGTCTGCAGAGGGAGTTTTTGTGAGGACAGGTGGGTAATATGGGGCCTTTACAGTAATTACATCACCATCTGGCCCCATCTTTATGGCAAAGCAGTTCTGCTGTACTGAGTTCTACATATGTGGTATATAGAGCCATATAGCTCAACAACGAAACCATGTGACTGGCAGCCTTCATTAACCCACACACTGAGGCAACAGATTGCTTTGAGAAATGGGTTTGAAGCACATCTGTGAAACTTACGATCCTATGGGTACTGGCATTTATTTCTTTGAGGTATCACTTTACACTTAAGTTTTTCTTGGTAGAGTATTTTTCAGAGACTTCTCTTTTGAGGCTAAATTAGGAATTTCTGTTCCTTATTTGAGTTCCAAGAATTGTGCCTTTCCTGCCCTCTGCCCAAATTGGAAGATACAAACCGTGGGAAAAAGTGTCTTTACAACTGTATTGAGTAAGTTATCTAACTTGGTTTATTTAGCATAGTCAGGAAACCTTTCACATGCATGGCATCCTCTTTCTATTATTTCTCTCTAAGCTAAAACAGTTTTTTGTTTTTTTAATGAGTTTCTGGGTCCTGACTGCAAAGGTGGGGAGTAAGGTGGGCACAAAGGCTGACAGGTAGTAAGTCGATGTGGAACTCGTTTCTCCTTGTTCAGATCAGTCTCTCTTTCCAATATTTACTCTTCCTCAAATAGGAAGAGGGAGAGCGGAAAAGAGAAAAAAAATGAGACATATAAATAGCTTTGTGGGATTTACTTGAAGTCTAAAGAATATGCATTTATGCAGTTATGTTCTAGGCACTGAAAAGCTGACCAAAGAGAACCTCTACCCTTGTAACCTTCATCCATCCCAGTTATGCCGGAGAAGGATGTCGGTGCTAATTTTAACCGGGAGACTAAGATGCACAAAGAACAAGTATCATAAAGCATTTTTGGAGCCAGAAACATTTAAGTTCCTTGACTCACTGCTGCTCTTACTCCAGACCACACAATTATATCCAAGTGAATTGCTGTTAGAATTAGTGCCTTCAGAGGAGACAATTGCTCGTAATTGGCAGCTATAAACCACTTCACTGAGAAAGCTGGGGTCTTAGATGCTGTGAGAAATAATTGACAGACTCATAAA